GGAAGGAAGGAAGGAAGGAAGGAAGGAAGGAAGGAAGGAAGGAAGGACTATAGAGACAATGATGAAGGAGATAGAAAGCTTCTAATTCGAAGATCTAGACTCTACCCCCTCCCCCATCTACAGTATGGCTATAATATCTTCTCTATAATCCTTCTTCATGGGGATGTAGTTTTAAGATGGCAGACGTGAAGCAACTTATGAATAGGCTGTCAACATCCTGTGGAGAAGGATCTAAAGAGCAACAGATCCCTCAGCTGTTCTGCAGCCCCATAGCTTCTCCTCCAAAGCCACATCGGTGTCTTTCAGTCTCAGTCTGCCGTCTGTCCATCCAAGCTACCTAACCCTAACCATGGCTCCTCTGGCCAGTCTTACCAATGAAGGCACTGGGAATGGTGATCTTCAGCCACATGCGGTCACGCACCTCCAAGCCTGACTCGGGCGAGGCCATGGCTTTGACGATGGTGGCCATGTCGCTATGGATGGAGAGGTGGAAGTCATCGAGACCTGTGCAAAAGGAAGGTAGGAGGAGGTGAGAGGTGACAGGAAAGTAGAGGAACGCACGTGAGCACCACATATAGATTCTTGATGTTCTCCAGATCGGTCAGGAGGAGATCCTGGGAAACCAACACATTTCAGGAAGAGAAATTTGGGAAAGGCTGCAAGTGAGATGGGGGCCGGGAAACCAGACAGGCATACGCTAAAGGCTACATGGATCTACCGTCTTCCTCTGAATAGGATTCCTTGTCAGGTTCCGATGAAAGCCCTAATTAATTCATGAGCCTCCAGTTTCAAAAGAAATCCAATTATTTATTAGAAGCAACATGTCGGCACTTTTCCCAAGTGCAGTCAGCCCTGCCCTACGTAATTTATTGCTCACCTATGACCGTTTCCCCACTTCTCCCAGGGTGTGTCATAAATCACATTCTCCAACAGAGAACTTTCAGGGGATGTAGAAAACATGCCTCTGCGGCTGGCTCTGGTAATCTGAGACACAATCTGGAGAAAGGTACGCATGGAATGTGCTTCTGGTCATAGCAACCGAACTGCTAGATCTCACCCCACCCCTCCTTCTTATGGCAACTCAAAAGTAAGCCAGGAATGCTTTACGAGTTGACACTCCGTTAACCATCGCCACATGTCAAAAACTGCTATGAAGTCAGAATGTGCCTTTTTAAAAAAAAATTTTTTAGCAAGTTACCTGTATCTGCCTGACATGAATTGTTTTAAGTGCTTTGTTCTTCTACTTTAACACTTTGTTTAAAAAAGCTACGGGCAGCTGGAGTGGAATTTTTCATTTTCCCAAACAGAAAGTGATCAGATCAAGGCCAACGGTATTTCAGGAATGACACAGCCTGAGCTGGCTCAAATGTTTCACTTGGCCAAACTAATTATTCCATCGCCAGTGATGTGCAAAACATGTCCAGCTCAAAAGTCTCCTTTTTCACTTCAAAAATTTGATTTCTAACTTTCCTGGAAAAGGTGGCAGGGCCTGTTTCATCAGCCTGGAAGTCAGCTAAATTTGAGACACCCCAGAAAAGTCCAGCAATTATGATCAAGATGGCCACTGCAACGTACCATCAAACTTCTACCTGTTTTTTACACACGCCACAATAGCCAGCTTCATTTTTTTTACTACACTTGTAACCAGGAACAGCGCCATTTTAAGAGCCGTGGTGGCGCAGTGGCTAGAATGCAGTACTGCAAGCTAATTCTGCTGACTGCCAGCAGTTCAATTCTCACCGGCTCAAGACTGACTCAGCCTTCCATCCTTCCAAGGTTGGTAAAATAAGGACTCAAGATTGTTGGGGGCAAATATGCTGACTCTGTAAACTTCTTAGAGAGGGCTGTGCAATATATAAATCTAAGTCAGAGATGTCAAATTTGCGTCGTCACAGGACATATTGCAACTTTTTCACCTTTTGCTAAACCAGGCATGGGCGTGGCCAGCACGTGACACATCCAAGCCCGCAGGCCGCACAAGTTTCACAGCCCTGGCCTAAGTGCCATTGCTATTTATGCACAAAATGAGGCTTGTTTGAGATTTGGATCGTGTCTGAAAAGTTCACAGCTCAACTGTTCTGTGCTCAAAGCCATGGCTAATTCAAATGGCTGTGCCTGCCTGCTCTCCAAAACCCAATCAGGAGCTACCTCTTCATCATCTCCAGATCATTCTCATGGCCCCATTAGCTCCATTGAGGATATCCAAAACACAATCCGTAGCTACCTCTAGATCAGGGGTGTCAAACTCGATTTCACGGAGGCCTGCATCAGGGTTGTGTTTGACCTTGGAGGGCCAGGGTGGGCGTGGCCAGCTCCACGTCACTTGTGTCTATGGTGGCCCAAGCACTTTGCCAGCAAAAAATGGGCTCCCAAGCTCCGTTTTCAGCTGTGACAGCCTCCTGCAACTCTCTGCCAGAGAAAAACAGAGTTGGCGGCCCTCCCAAGCTCCGTTTTTCTCTGGCAAACAGTTTGCAGGAGGCTCTCACAGCCAAAAACAGAGCTCGGGAGCCCGTTTTCGCTGGCAGAGGCATGGTCCTTCTCTGTTTTCCAGGGCAGCCCCACAGAACAGATCTAAGTACCTCGCAGGCCCATTTCCGGGCCCTGGGCCTTGAGTTTGATACCCCTGCTCTAGATCATCTCCAGATCCTCCTCATTAGCTCCACTGAGGATCCCATCTTTTCTTTGTTCTAGTGTCCCATAGGCTCTCTCGGGCTTTAATCTCACCTCTCCCCACTTCCTCACCCATCCGGGAAGGCAGGAAAGAAATCTCTGTGCCCCTGTTGCTCCACAAGCTCGCTCTGAAAACACAATTCAGGTAGTCCTCGAGTTACGACCACGATCAGAACCAGAATTTCCGTTCTAAAGCAACCCAAGCGAGCCGTGCCTCCTTTCGCGATATTTTTTTTGCCATGGTTGTTAAGCGAATCACTGCAGCTGATTAATCATGTGGTCATTAAGCAAATCCATTCCTCCCCCCCCGCAAAAAATTGACTTTGCTTATCAGAAGCCAACACGGAAGGCCGCAAAGGGAGATCACGCGTCCCCAGGACATTGCAACCGTTGTAGATACATGTCAGTTGCCAAGCACCCAAATTTCGATCACGCGACCATGGGGGAATATGGTAGCAGGCTTGTTAAGGGTTGAGGATCAGTCATAAGTCACTTTTTTCATGAATGTTGTAACTTGAATGGCCGCAAAATAAATGGTTATAAGTCGAGGACTTCGCTTATCAGTGCCACTCTGCTTCACAGGCTATCTTGTCTCTTTGGAAGCTAGTCCACCCCTATCCACCTTGGTCAGGAGAAGCCAACCAAAACTTTACCACTTTTAACAGCTAGGGTTCCCCACTGGACACTCAACAGTCTTTCTAACTAATCTTTCATGGAAAGGGCGGGGGGGATTGGACTAGAAGACCTCCAAGGTCCCTTCCAGCCCTATGATATAAGAGCTGTGACAGCGCAGTGGTGAGAATGCAGTACTGCAGGTTATTTCTGCTGTCTGCCATCTGCCAGCAGTTTGGTAGTTTGATCCTGACCAGCTCAAGATTGCCTCAGCCTTCCATCACTTCTGAGGTCAGTAAAACGAGGGTCCAGATTGTTTGGGGGGGCGGGGGGGGAAGAGGCTGACCCCGTAAACTGATTAGAGAGGGCCATAAAAGCACTGTGAAGCAGTATACTGTATAAGTCTAAGTGCTATTGCTATGATCCCATGATCGCACTTGTCAACATGATTGTTTAAATCAACTTCTACGGGTAGTCCTTGACTTGACAACAATTCAGGGACCATTCGTAGTTACACCGCAGTGGTTAGAATGCAGTACTGCAGGCTACTTCTGCTGACTACCAGCAATTTGGCAGTTCGAATCCCACCAGGCTCAAGGCTGGCTCAGCCATCCGTCCTTCCGAAGTGAGTAAAATGAAGACCCAGATTGTTGGGGGGGGGGGGCAATAGGATGACTCTGTAAGCCACTTAAGCGAGGATTATAAAAGCACTGTGAAGCGGCATATAAGTCTAGGTGCTATTGCTACAACGGCACTGGAAAAAAAATGACACGACAATTTTTCACACCACCGTTAGAACATCCGCATGGTCATGTGATCAAAGTTTGGATTCTTGGCAAGTGGCTCATGTTTATGACGGTTGCCTTGACCCCGGGGGACAAGCAAAGTCAATGAGGGAAGCCAGATTCATTTAACAATGGGGTTGCTAATTTAACAAATGCAGCGATTCACTTTACAACCAGGGCAAGGAAAATTGTAAAATGGGACTACTCACTTAATGTCCTCCATTGTTAAGTTGAGGATTACCCGTACTTCCTCCTGGCTGATACTTCCTGTATTTCTCTCCCTCCACGTCCCTCTTGGGGGCAGCTCCGTTCAAATCCCTGCACATCCCTTCAAGAGTCTATGGAGATTCTCAGTCATCCAGGTCATGGTTGTCCCAAAAGTACTTTTTCCCCGCTTTTTTTCAAGAGGCAACTTGACTTTCTGGTTTTCTTTCAAGACATTTCGCTTCTCATCCAAGAAGCTTCTTCAGCGGTGACTGGATGGTGGAGAATGGAAGGATTTTATACTTCTTGCAGACAGCTGGTCGTTTGCATCCTTTTAGAGGGTCGTTGAGGACACTTGGAGGTTTATCTGTGTCTTTAGGGTCACTTGAGTGGTGTAAATGGGTGTGGAGCCTTCTTGGAACTGCTGAAAGGACCGTGTTGTAGATTGGAGATAGATGAACAGCCCTCTCTCAACAGAGAACAGATACAACATCACCTATCTCCAGTCTACAATAACGATCCTTTCAGCAGTTCCAAGAAGGCTCCACACCCATTTGCACCACTCAGGTGACCCCAAGGATGCAGAAAAACCTCCGAGTGGCCTCAACAACTCTCTAAAACGGGTTCCCAAACTTGGCAACTTTTAAGGCTTGTGGACTTCAACTCCCAGAATCCTCCATGCTGGCTAGAGAATTCTGAGAGTTGAAGTCCATTAAGTCTTACAGTTGTCACGTTTGGGGACCTCTACTCTAAAAGGATACAGTCAGAGGTGGTATTCAGCCGGTTCAGATCGGTTCTGGTGGACCAGTAGCGAAAATTTTGACTGGTTCGGAGAACTGGGAAATACCACTGGCTGGCTGGCCCCGCCCACCTCTCCTATATTCTGTTGTTTATTACCTCAGCTGATTCACGTGGAAGAAGTGGATTTCCGCAGCTCAGCTGAGCTAAAAAACCCAGCACAGCTCACCAGCATTGATACAGGGGGCGGTGTTTGAGCCCTGCACATGCACGCATGAAGTAAGCTCTCCAAACTAGTAGGAAAATATTTTTTTTTGAAACCCACCACTAGATACAGTTGTCCAGCCATCTGCAAGGGATATAAATCCTTCCATTCCCCAGCATCCAGTCAGAGCTGAAGAAGCTTCTTGGATGAGAAGCAAAACGTCTTCAAAGACAAGCCCGAAAGTCCAGTTGGCTCTTGGGCGAAATAAAAAACACCTTTGGGACGTATCCTTTCAAGAGAGACTCAAACATCCCTGCTCAGCAGAATCTACCAGGAAACCGATCCTTCATTACTGAGGCTGTTTTAGGAGGGGGGGTACAGGTTCTTCTTACGCCAAGGGGACCTTGGGCCCTGTGCAGGTATGGTTCCTATCAGATGAGGCGTGCAGGTGACCGGAAGCCAAGCAGGGATGAGAGATGCGTGAGTACAAGAACTTACGTTCCGTTTCTGGGATGGAGCTGGTGATGGAAGAGCTGGTGGAAGTGATTGTGCTCATGGATGGGCTCATACCGTACGCAGGGAAGGTGCCGGTCATCGCCGCGGTGTGGGACACCCAAGCCGCTGGGTCGATGGGTCGGATAGGCTCACCTGAAAAGGGAACAGGCTCCTTGTGAGAAGCCGTCTCCTCGACGGTCATCCCCTACACGCTGGAACCCCCCAAGACCTCTAGACAGCCCTGTCCTCCCCCAGGGTCAGCCGGGACTCACCCGGATCGGAGCACGGAGAGTCTGGCCCAGCCCAGATTCGCTGGGGAGCAACTGGGGGAGAAAAGAGAGGGGTGATCAGCGAGAGGGATACAGAGGGAGAGCCACCTGGCGCCCATGGATTAACAAGTCAGGGAAGTTAGGAGAGGGGGAAGGAAGCTCCATGCAAGGAAGGAATGCGTCTGTGCTGGGTTGCAAAAGAGCAATCAAGTAGGAAGTCCCGAAGAGGGCAGGAGAGAGGCGAAGAGGAAGGAAGAATAGCACAGAGAATAGAAGGTGGGAAGACCTCAGTGGCTTTCTTTTTTAAAAAAAAAAGTTTTTATTTTATTTTTATAATAAAAACAACAAATAAAACCATCTTTCCATTATACAGTGCGTCGGCTGGGTACATATATCTTGCACACATAACAATATTGCTATACACTTCTTATTAAGTTTACATTCATGTTCTATTACGGTCAACATTATATATCATCTTATATCATTATTACATTGTCATCAAGTTTTTATTTCAGTTTCAAACGGTCCTTAAAGGCAAATCCCAAATCTTACTAAATTATATTCATGTTGTAGCTTATTCAAAAATAATCAATTTCAGTGTATCGTTTTTATTACAATATCCTTTAATTTCTTGCTCTATACTTTCTAACCATCCATAAAATAACGCCCAAATCTTAGAATGCTCTTTTTCTTCTTGCTCTCTAATTGCTAATGTTAATCTACTCATTTCTGCATATTCTCTTATTTTCTTGATCACCTCCTCCTCCTCCATGGGAATTTTCTCATTTTTTTTCCCAATTTTGAGCAAATACAATTCTAGCTGCAGTTAATACATTAATAATCAAATACATTATTTCTTTACTATGGCTTTCAGGCAAAAATCCCCAATAAAAGTATCTCAGGCTTTAAGACTATGTGTTGTTTTATCATTTTTTTCCAACCATGTGTGTATTTTAGTCCAATGTCTTTTAGCTTCTGCACAAGTCCACCCTTGGCGGCTTTCTCACGCACCGCAAGCCCATTTATGCATTTAGGACAAAAGGAGGAGGAAACCCTTCCTGGGAATGGCTACAGAAATTCTCAAATCATCCAGCTCAAGGTTGTTCCAAAGGCGCTTTTCCAAAAGGCAACTGGACTTCCTGGGATTTTTTTCGTTTGTTTGTTTGCTTCCTGAAAATGTTTCGCTTCTCATCCAAGAAGCTTCTGGGATGAGAAGGGACGTATTTTCAAACAAAACAAAGCAAAAAACCAAGAAAGTCCAAGTGTTTTTTCTAGTGGGACCAGCCTACCCCAAATATAGGACGGAGCATGCTGCTTCCGCTTTTGCTTCTAGCTCCAATCCCAGAGCCTTCGTTGGCAGCCGCTTTGGCGACAAACTATTTTTGTGTTTAATTTATATTTACTGGCAAAAGAAATAAAGGGAGACTAGTACAGATATTATTTCAAGCTAATTTATATTTACCGACAAAGAAATAAAGGAAAACTAGTACAGATATTATTTCAAGCTAATTTATATTTACCGACAAAGAAATAAAGGGAGACTTGTAAAGCTCTATTTCAAGCTAATTTATATTTACCGACAAAAGAAATAAAGGGAGACTAGTACAGATATTATTTCAAGCTAATTTATATTTACCAACAAAAGAAATAAAGGGAGACTAGTATAGATCTATTTCAAGCTAATTTATTTAGCTTGAAATGGCTTGAAATAAATCTATATCAGTCTCCCTTTATTTCATTTGTCGGTAAATATTAATTCAACCAAGTCCAGTTGCCTTTTGGAAAAGCACCTCTGGGGCCTTCGTAGGAATGTCTCGAAAGTCTCTCTATATCAAGCATCTTCAAACTTGGCAAGTTTAAGACTTGTGGACTTGAACTCCCAGAATTCCGGAGCTAACATGACTGGAGGAGGAGGAGGAATTCTGGGAGTTGAAGTCCACAAGTCTTAAAGCTGTCAAGTTTGAAGAGCCCTGATCTACGTGTGGAAAACAAGCATCTTCAAGAAGTTAATCTTTTCTTCCCAAGGACTAGTCCTCACTACACACAGAGTCCTCACAAAAACACTGGCAGTGTCTTTAAACGAGGAATTGTCAAGAATGATATTGCTCCAAGGACTGTAGCTTTACCCCTACCGATTTTATTTCTGGCTTTGTCTTTTCACCCTCGTTTGCTAAGCAGCTCTATTTATTCTCTTATGAAGGGCTGCAAATACAGGCAGCCCTCAACTTTTACAAGCACAACTGAGTCCAACATTTCTGTTGCCAAGTGAGACATTTGTTGAGTTTTGCCCCCATGTTTTAACCACTTTTCTTGCCACCCGTTGTTAAGTGAATCACTGCAGCTGTTCAGTTGGTAGCATGGTTGTCAAGGGGATCTCTAACTTCTAACTAAATGCGAGTCAGTTGCCAAGAGTCTGAATTTTGATCACGGGGGAAATCATGGGACCCAACGATCGTAAGCATGAAAAATGGTCATGTCACTTTTTTCAGTTCAGTGGTTAACCTTGAGCCATCACTAAATGAAATGTTTCAAGTGGAGGATTGCTTGTATATGTTAATTATTACAGGTAGCCCTTGACTTACAACAGTTCATTTAGTAGCCAAAGCTACAACCGCACTTTAAAAAGGGGTTTATGACTTGTTTATGACTTGTTTTCCACACTTGCAGCATCCCCGTGATCAAAATTCAGACACTTGGCAACTGACTCGTATTTATGACGGTTGCAGTGTCAGGGGAGGGTGTATGTGTGTCATGCAACCCCCTTTTGCGATCTTCCAACAAGCCAAGTCAATGGGGGAAGCCAGATCTGCTTAACGACCGTCTTATTAACTTAACAAATGCAGTGGTTCACTTAACATCCCTGCCAAGAAAGGCCCTAAAATGAGTCAAAACTCACTTCAGAACTATCTCACTAAACTTGGGGCTCAGTTGTGATTGTAGGTCATGGCCTATTTGCAAGCGGGATTGGAACCCGTCAGGCCTGTAGATGCCTTTGTGGTCAGAGAACCTATCACAGTGGTGGTGAACCTTTTTGTTGTGGTGTGCCGAAATTGCGCGTGTTCACGTGCCGGCCCCCACAATGCAATGTGGTCTCCCCTCCAGGCACAGGTGTGCGCAACACCTCCGCCCCACCCCCTTACCTGTACTGTGCATGCGCACGCCTCCCAGCTGATTTTCGGCCTATTTGAGGGAAAGCCTCTGCAGCCTTGGGAGGCCAGAAAACAGTCCTTCTTGAAACACCAGAAATGCCTGTTTTTAGCCTCCGGAGGGTCTCCGTAGCCCAGGGGAGGCAGTTTTCGCCCTCCTGGAGGCTCGAGGGAAGCCTCTGCAGCCTTGGGAGGCTGAAAACGGGCCTGTTTTGGCACCTCCGGTATTTCCAGAAGGCCCATTTTTCAGCCTCCTGCGGCTACAGAGGCTTCCCTCGAGCCTCCGGGAGGGCAAAAACAGCCTCAAACAGGCCAAAAATCAGCTGGGAGGCATGCACATGCGCAGTGCAGGTAATCTTGGCTGGGGCTCGCGTGCCCACACAAATGCCTCTGCGTGACACCTGTGGCACGGGTGCCATAGGTTCGCCATCACGGACTTATCATGCCTTGCCTCTTTCTTCTTCGTTCTGTCCGGTTTTTGTCATCATTATTTACTCCTGGAGAGGATTGTCATTTCCTGGTTCTTTAAATGTTCTTAACTATCCAAGCAGAGAGATTGGACAACCCTTTGTGTGACAAGAGGGTTTCCTGCCCAAGCAGGGGGGGTTGGACTAGAAGACCTCCAAGGTCCCTTCCAACTCCAGCAATTCTGAATGGTGCACAAATAGAATATTATTCTATTCAATTCTATTTGTGCACCACCCAGAACTGCTGGAAATTGGGGGGCACATGAATTTAATAACCCGTTATTATTGTGGTCATCATCATCAGCTCCACGGGTCACGTAAATTGATTTCATGTCATCCAGTTCAGTGGTTGCCAACCAGTGGGCCGGGGACCAAGGGTGGTCTGCAAGAAAATTTTGGTGGTCTGCAGAGAAATGTCACCCCCAAAGCACCCCCCCCAAAGCAATCCATCCAGGCTACGCGGGAACATAAGGTTGTGCTGCCCACATGGCCTGTGGGAACACAAGGCTTGCATCGCTTGCATTGTGAACAACACGAGGTAGTAAGGGGAGGGGGGAAAGGGAGGAGCGGGGAAACTTGCCCCGCGTGCCTTGCCTGGCCACCGGACTGCTTCTTTCTGCTTCTTTCTTCTTCTGCTTTTGGCTGCACACAAGGAAAGCAGCAAAAGTCTTTCTTTCTCTCCCCCAAACTCTGCCAGAAATGAGTCTTTGGGACCCTGCAAGGCCTCCTGCTCCAAGAGGCTGTGCTGGCACGACAAGTCTCACAAACAAAGATTCATTTCTGGCGGAGTTTGGGGGAGAGAAAGAAAGAATTCTGCTGCTTTCCTTGCATGAATCCAAAAGAGCCTCAGTCTCTCTCTCTCTCTCTTTCTTTCTCTCTCTCTCCCCTGAGAACAGAGCTGGAGACGGTATCTTGCGATCCCAAATAAAGAATGATCGATCGGTAGGAAAATGGGATGAGGAATTTTCCTGCAGACTTTTTTGGGGGGATTTTCCCAGGATCTCTGGTCCGTGGGATTTAAAATTATGAGTTTGATGGTCCCTGAGGTCCAAAAGGTTGGCAACCCCTGATCCAGTTGACAATTAGGTGGGGGGAGGTTTGTTTGTTTCTGTTTTTTTTACAACAAAACTTTCAGCTCTGCACCATGTAAAATTGACTGTCACGTACATGCCTGACCCGAATAAAATTACGGGCGGGAAGCTTACTTACTCCTGGGTAACGAGAAGCAGCCTCTGGGACTCGGATCCCAGCACTTGGCGACCGTCAACGTGATGGGCCTGCAGCAAAACACAAAAAGTTGACACCCTGGCAAGTTGGTTCACAACACGGGCACCCCCGTTGCTGGCATTTCCCTCAGGGGAAGGAAAAAAAAAAACAGGATAGCTCCACCCCAACCACAGTCCTTTTTTGTTAAGATTTTATTTTTTTAATGTTAAGAAATCTGAACTAAGACATCCGGAAGAAAAAAGGCGGGAAGCGTTTTGAGGAATCCCTACATCCTTTTGGGTGCCTGACAGAAAGGACGACAGCATTTGCAGGGCCGTCAAACCCTAGAACGACAAGCTTTCACAAAACGATAACCTGTTATGGTTTATTTTCATTATTTGTTGGACTGTTACCTCATGGCTCCTCACTAACAGCAAGAACCATTTTGGTGTTCGTCATCCAGCTCACGGTTTTTCCTCAAGAGTCCTTTTTCAGGAGGCAATTGGACTTCCTGGTTTTTTTTCTTTTGAGGACGTTTTGCTTCTCATCCAAGAAGCTTCTTCCGCTCTGACAGGACGTTGGGGAATGGAAGGATTTGTACCCCTTGCAGACAAGGAGTATAAATCCTTGTCTGCAAATCCTGGCCATTGGCATCTTCAGGTGACCCTGAGGACCCAGATAACCCTCCAAGTGGCCTCAACAACCCTCTAAAAGGATGCAAATGACCAGCTGTGTCTTCAAGGAGTATAAATCCTTCGGTTCCCCACCACCCAAGTCAGAGCTGAAGAAGCTTCTTGGATGAGAAGCGAAAAGTCTTCAAAAGAAAAAAAAAACAAGAAAGTCCCGTTGCCTCCTGAAAAAGCACCTTTGGGCCAACCATTTTAAGATAGGACACAAGAGAGGAGCCGTTCAAACAGAGGGCTTTAACCAAATGTGGCGAGGAAAGTTGTAAAATGGGGCAAAACTCACTTAACACATTTTTCACTTAGCCACATACATGTTGGGCTCCATTGTGGTCGTAAGTGGAGGACTACCTGTACATCATTCAAGCCTGCATCAAAAGGAAACTGGAACCAAGGAGGCCGAAGAGAGGACCTACCCCGGTTTGTGCACAATTTCCCTCAGCACTCGTACGGCATCATCATTGCTCATGTTCTCAAAGTTGGTATCGTTCACCTGCAAAGGTAAATCAAAGATGAAAGAGGATGAGGTAAGAAGACATGGAGTTGTCAGGAAAAAAAACTCAACGCTGGGTAGATCCATATCCTCAACTGAGGTAATGTCAAGGCGCAAGCAACTAGAACCACTCGTGGACAGCCCCAAGTAACTATTCTATTGTTGATCATGTGTATTACAAGAATCTGCCATTATCTTCCTTCCCTTGGGGAACAAGAGATATACATGCAAGATTTGATCACAGACATTTCCTCCCCCAAACATAATCTAAATTTGAATGTCTCTACTCCTACCTAGAGGAGCCCCCTCCCTTCCAGCTTCCCAACACAGAGCAGCAGCAAGCAGAATGCGCCAACTCGCCACGGCCAACTCGTCACGGGACAATTCAACAATTCAATTATTTAACATAAGTTTTAAAATATTTTCATTTTTGTCATTCACATTTCATTTTTTGTCCCCCCTTTGGCATCCTTTTAATGAATCTATTCCACTCTTGTCCCGTGGTGAGTTGGCCAGGCAATTTGACCATGCGAGTTGGTCATGATTGAGTTGGCCATGGCAAGTTCTCGTAGACCTGTACCAGGTCATCCTTCTCAGAGCTTGAAAGCTAAGCACTGATGAGACTTAATATCTGAACAGGGGGCTACTTGGAAATGCCAAGGATGTAATCTGGACTAGGAAGTTAAGAAAAATCCCACTTCTGTATGGTTGCTTAAAAAAAAAAAAAAACCTTCATGGACACATTCCTGAAGTCATCGGGAAGTGGCCTTGATGGAGACTTTATTTTTACTTTCCCAGACCCACCTGGAAAATCTGTATCTGCTTCCAGATTAATATTCTTTCACCCTTGCTGATCAGCCCACGGACTACGTGTTTCTACAGCTATACTCACACAGTCCAAATGACACCATTTATACAAGTTTTCACAAGCTAACTGCAGCCACGAAAGGCAAATGAGCCATCACTGTCCATGCCTTAAGCACAAGTCACCAACAAAAGATGGGAGAGAGTCAAATCTTCATTCCCGTGCTCCTACACAATATCTCTCAACCTTGGCAACTTTAAGATGTGTGGACTTCAATTCCCAGAATTCGCCAACTGTGGGGAATTCTGGGAACTGAAATTCACACATCTTAAAAATGGCCAGGATTGACCAACACTGCTCTTCCTTGAGTCTAGGCACGAGCAAAGCACCTGTTCTCCTTTTTTAACTCACTGCTGTCAGGATTCCGGCAGTTACCCCATTTAAATCATGAGTCTCAATCCAAACTTCCAAAACTTCAAAAAGGATTTATTGGGAGTTAACATGCCAGCATTGCCTGGGTGTAGCCAACTCTGAGACACATGATACACTGTCATCCTTGACCCTGGTTTTCCCCTGAGTGTATCATAATTCATATTCTCCAATGGGACACATCCATAGCTAAGAGTCATCAATCATACTCTCCAGTTAGAATTTTGCGCGACAGAAACTTGAGTCACCTAGTTACTATCGTTGAAAATTATGGAATGCAGTTTCAGTTTTGCAAGCTGCTGCACTGCTCCCCGCTCCCTTTCTGTTGGCAACCCTAAAAAGTCCCTAGAAATATTTTATGAGTTGACATTCAACTCCTCTCACTACTTGAAGGTAACCTTGTTGATGTTTCTTATTGATCCCCTGAACATGAGCTCAGGTGTTCCATAAAAGAGGTACCTGCAGCAGCATGTCTCCAGGTTCAATTCTTCCATCAGCTGCCACTGCGCCTCCCTTCATAATGGAACCAATGTAGATGCCTCCATCACCACGTTCGTTGCTTTGCCCAACGATGGAGATGCCCAGGAAGTTGTATTTTTCTGCAGAAAAAGGGAGGTATGCAGTTAGAACATCACCCAAGCCAACCGGTCTATTACTTGGTCTATTCAATCATTTGTGATCTAGCTTAAAGAAATGAACATTAGGTACAGGTAGTCCTCGACTGACTACAGTTCATTTAGTGACCGCTCAAAAGTTGTAACAGCACTGAAAAAAAGTGATTTACGATCACTTTTCACACTTACGGCCATTGCAGCATCCCCATAGTCACAAGATCCATTAATTCAGATGCTGGACAATGGGCTCGTGTTTATGTTGGCTGCAATGTCCTGGGGTCACATGATTCCCCCCTTGCGACCTTCTGGCAAGCAACGGGGGAAGCCAGATTCATTATAACGAGTGCAGTGATTCACTTAACAACTGTGGCAAGAAAGGCTGTAAAATAGCACCAGCACTTAGACTTAAATACCACTTCACAGTGCTTTTACAGCCCCTCTCTAGGCACGTTTTTAGAGTCAGCCTCTTGCCCCCAACAATCTGGGTCCTCATTTTACCCACCTCGGAAGGATGGAAGGCTGAGTCAACCTTGAGCCGGTCAGGATCGAACTTCAGACTGTGGGCAGAGTTAGCGTGCAATACTGCATTCTAACCACTGTTCCACCACAGGAGGGAGGCAGGGAGGGAGGGAGGGAGGGAGGAAGGAAGGAAGGAAGGAAGGAAGGAAGGAAGGGCAATAGCACTTAGACTTAAATACTGCTTCACAGTGCTTTTACAGCCCTCTCTAAACAGTTTACAGAGCTCTTGCTCCCAACAATCTCATTTTACCCACCTTGGAAGGGTGGAAGGCTGAGTCAACCTCGAGCCTGGGGAGATGAACTGCCAAACTGCAGGCAGCAGCAAGTCAGCAGAATTAGCCTGCAGGACTGCACTCCAACCACTGCGCCACAATGGGGCAAAACTCACTTATTGCTTAGCAATAAAAATGTTTTGGCTCAATTGTGGTCGTAAGTTGAGGACTATCTATATCGGATCAGGAGAATTAAAATAAGGCCCTTCTCCAAAGGCCTTCTCCATGCTAAATTGTCACTTCCCAATGTTCAGCAGGTTATCTTGCATCTGCCTGCTAAGTTTTGGCCCTGGGCCCACCTCCAAGCAGCCGTCTGGACTCACCCATGTTGAGCGTAACGGTGATGATGTTCAGCGACATGGTGGAATCAGTGATGCTGCTAAAAGATGAAGACTGCAAGGAAAGGAGAGGATGAGATAAGAAGGCATGTGAGATTCCCCGATCAGAACTGACAGGTCGGGTTTTAGGTCCCACCACTGGGGAAAAGATGGGGATAAAATGCCCTTTCAAGGCTCTCCCTACACATTTATAGAAGCCCCAAGACTCGCAAAGTCATTTGAAGAACAACAGAATAACAGAGTTGGAAGGGACCTTGGAGGTCTTCTAGTCCATCCCCTGGCTCAAGCCTATCCTATTTCAGACAAATGGTTGTCCAAATTTTTTCTTAAAAACCTCCAGTGCTGGAAGCACCCACAACTTCTGCAGGTAAGTCGTTCCACTGGTTAATTGTTCTCCCTGTCAGGAAATTTCTTAATTCTATATTCTTTCTTTGATTCATCTCCATCCATTGCTTCTTGACCTGCCTTCAAGTGCTTTGGAGAAGAGCTTGACTCCCTCTTCCTTGTGGCAGACCCTCAAAATTTTGGAAGACAACAATCATGCCTTCTATCAAGGACCTGTATACTGCACAAGTCAAAAAGAGGGCTGGGAAAATATCTATAGACCCCTCACAAGTCAAAAAGAGGGCTGGGAAAATATCTACAGACCCCTCACATCCCAGACATAAAGTGTTTCAACTCCTACCCTCAAAATGACGCTACAGAGCACTGCATGCCAGAACAATTAGACACAAGGGGAGTTTTTTCTGAACGCCGTCACTCTGCTAAAAAACTAATTCCTTCAACTCTGTCCAACTATTTACAAAGCCTGCACTACTATCACTATTAATCTTCTCATCACTCCTTATCGCCCATCTCCCTCCCACTTCTGACTGCATGACTGTAACTTTGTCACTTGCATCCTTATGATTTATATGGACTGTTTCCTAGTATGTTTTGATTGCTTATTTGTATCCTATGACTATTATTAACTGTTGTACCTGATGATTCTTGACTCTTGACAAATGTATCTTTTCTTTTATGTACACTGAGACCATTTGCACCAAGACAAATTCCTTGTGTGTCCAATCATACTTGGCCAATAAAGAATTCTACTATTCTATTCTATATTCTATTCTATATTCTATTGTATTATAATATAATATTATATTATTCTATTCTTATTGTACCCTATGACTATTATTAAGTGTTGCACCTGATGATTCTTGACTCTTGATGAATGTATCTTTTCTTTTATGTACACTGAGAGCATCTGTACCAATAGAAATTCCTCGTGTGTCCAATCACACTTGGCCAATAAAGAATTCTAATTCTCTTCTCTTCTCTTCTTTTCTCTTCCCTTCCCTTCCCTTCCATCCTATACTTCTATCTTTTCACTAGGTTAGCCATATCCAATTCCTGCATCTGTTCCTTGTTTTAGCCTCCAGCCCCGTAAACATCTTTGCTGCTCTTCTGTGCCCTCTAAGATCTCTGTATCATTTTTTACAATATGGTGACTAAAACTGGGTGCAATATTCCAAGTGTGGCCTTACCAAGGCCTTATAAAGCAGTATGAACGCTTCACGTGATATTATTTCTACCCCCTCTGTCTGTGGCACTGCCTCATCCCCAACCGCCCAGTCAGGCCTCTCACCCTTTCAATTCGGGCTACTTTCTGTTTCCGCCGACGGCGTTTGTGTCTCCTCATAAGGCGCGAGGCGCTGCTTTGTTCTGTCGAGCTGCTGAACCTACAAGACGAGCAGCAGAGGAAGAATCAGGAGTTTGCTTATCAGGAAGCAGTAAAAAGGTGCGAGGGAGGGCATCACATTTGGGTTCTTGGATGAGAAGTTAAACGAGTTATTCGGTGAAACCCCCCCACCCCCCTTACAAAAGAGTACCATCTCAGATACCATCCTCGACTCCATTATAAAATAATGAGCAAACAAGGGACAGGAAAGGAGAAAGGGAAAGAGAAAGAAGGAAGGGAGGGAAGAGGAAAAAAAGAAAAGAAGGGAAGGAAGAAGAAAGGAGAATGAAGAAGGAGGGAGGGAGGAAGAGAAAGAAAGAAAGAAAGAAAGAAAGAAAGAAAGAAAGAAAGAAAGAAAGAGAGGGAAGGAAGGAAGGAAGGAAGGAAGGAAGGAAGGAAGGAAGGATATGAGAGTGAGGGTGTTCTGACCCAGGCTTTGTAAACCATAATTATGCACAAATGTAATTTAAAAACAAAACCTATTTTATTGCAATGCTGGGAATTGTTTTCATTCCCAGCAGGAATTAACAGTCAAACAGTCCCCCAAGATAAGCACACACCTTTCAGTTCTGTGAAGTGCTGCCAAAAACAGAAGTATCAAATTAACTAGAAAAGAAACCAACCGAAGTACAAAAAAACCCAACCGAAGTACAAAGAGCTTCAAGGAGGACTCTGAACCAATTGAGCTACTTTGCTTCCTGCAAAGGTTTCATCATCTTGGCCTGACTTTTATCTTTTATGGGAGGGGCAATCACCTCCCAACCTTACTCCCGAGACTTTTGTTTCAGCTGCTCTTGCTTTCTAGCAGCTCTGCGCACACGTGCATTGAGAACAGGCCGCGTCCTCTGCCTCGTGCTGCCAGACTCCAAAGGCAGCAGCCCACTCCTCCTCTCTGCATCGGACGCAGGACCCTCGTCCGAGTCCTCTCCAGACTCCCTGACTGGTCCCCGTTCTTCCCCACTGTCCAATTCCGCTGCAGGTTGCACCAGCTGCTGGCGAACTACAACAGAGGGTCTCAGGGAAGTCCTCCTTAGCAACTCAGTGACCACAGGTGCTCACAACACAAGTTGGCCACGTTCATCAGGGCTACACCCACACCCAGCCCTCCAAGGTCAAACACAACCTGGATGTAGCCCTCAATGAAATCAAGGTTGACATCCCTGAGATAGATATTTAGACAGAAATACCCTATTCTGGCTCAGGAATTCTGGGAGTTGAAGTCCACAAGTCTTTAAGTTGCCAAGTTTGGAGACCCCCGATCTACAGCATCATTTACAAGAGCAATTTCATCTTCTTGCTCTCTCCTTACCTGCTGGTGGAATCATCCTCATCGGAATCAAAGAAGCTGGTGGTCTCCAGTTCACTACTCATCAGGGTGGAGGAGCTTTCATAGCCCCCCAGTTCCCGCCGACGGTCTCCCTTGGTCATCCCGTTCACCCTAGGGGCTGGAGGAAACAGAGACGGACTTTTTTTCTTTGTGAAAAAAGTACTGTGTACAAATTAAATCGGCCCATTTTGCTTATTCACTCTTTCTATTGCACCTTCTGTCTTGAGAGGGGCAAGGCATCGCAAGGCATCTCTTTTAAGGAGATCCAAGCCGGTCTGAAAACATATTCTATTTCTTCTTCTAATATTTATTGGATTGATAAGGCCATCCAAATCAAAGAACTCAACCTTGGGTAAACATACGACGACAACCAGTTAAAAAATAAAATAAAATAAAATAAACCAAAACGGAACTATAAATGGCTAAAAACATTAGACCGTATATCAATATGAAACACGGTAAGAAACGACGACTTGAAGGCTAAATTCACCCATTTTCCAAACTCACCAATTGCACTTTAGCTTATCAATTGGGGGCAATCCAGCCTCAGGGACGAATCGAGTAAATGAGGACTTAGCACAACGAAACTCGTTGTGCGAACACAGACACAGTTTTGATTTCAAAGGGGGTGGGGAATCCTCACCGTGCTCAGGACCCTCCTTCCTGCGTGGCCGTTCCCTCTGAACGGACACCACAGAGTCTGTCTCCGTCTCATTGTCCAGGTTCTCTCTGCTTCCCCCGCTATTTGGGCTGCAAGACAAAAAAAACCCCACATTATTTCAGTAGGTAATAAAACCAGCGGTGGGCTTCAAAAATTTTAGCAAAGGGTTCTCTGACCGGTTGCTGGATGGGCGTGGCCATGGTGGGCGTGGCCTAGTCAGCCTCCTGAGGGGCGTTTTTACACTCCCCAGGCTCTGGAGGCTTTCATTGAGACTTGCCTTCCTGAACTTCCGGGAGGCCCGTTTTCGCCCTTCCCGAGCCTCCGTACGCACCCTGCGCTTCCACGCGGGGACTCCTGGGAGGGGGGGGCAACCAGTAGTGGGATTAGAGTGTCAACTCATAAAATATTTCTCTGGAGTTGCCAGCAGGAAGGGAAGGGGGAGCAGTATAGCTGTTTGCAAAACAGAAACTACATTCTATAAATGTGTCATGCCCTTGGTAGAGTCGGACACTGAGGGAGAGGAGGAACATCCGACAGGGAGTGGAGGTGTGGCTCCAGAGGTTGTGGAGGAGGCTGGGGAAGGGCAGAGGCTAGCTGAGAAGTCAGAGGAAGAACCAGGACCATCCCCTCTGCATCCTAGGACACACTGGGAGGGACAGAGAAGGCAACAACTTGGCTTGCGAGAGAGGAGGCGGCCATGATCCTCCTCATTGGTTGCAGCTGGGGAGATGAGTATATAAGAGAGACGGTTAAAACACAGGTTGCCAGAAGCAAAGCGTGTTTTATTTTGGTCTGAAGTTATCTTGGTTGGCGTCCTTCCAACAGACTGTGCCTTGTTATCTCCTTGAATTTGGTAAATACTTCTGTTCCATTGTGGAAATTTCGTCATTGTAGTTTGTTTGGTTTTTTTTTTATTTCACCTCTATCTGCTCATTAAATTCGGACTGTATTGCTTTCTTTTGAAGAATATTTTTGAGTACGTTTTTATCTCCAACTGAGTATTACTGAACAGTGGGGCCAAGTTGGAGGCATTAAAGGACATGTATTTACGTTTTGGATTTTGTTATGTTTGTGTTACGCTCTGGGTCATCACAAAATGTTTTCATAGAGAGTTTCTAGGCTACCGAAGTTTCTGCCGCGCAAAATACTAATTGGAGAACATGATTGATGACTCTTGGCTATGGATGTGTCCCATTGGGGAATATGAATTATGATACACCCAGGGGGTGGGGGAAAACCAGGGTCAAGGGTGACAATGAATGATGTGTCTCACAGTCGGCTACACCCAGGCAGCGTAGGCATGTTTACTCCTAATAAATCTTCTTTAAGTTTTGGAATTTCGGCTAGAGACTCATGATTTAAATGGGGGTAACCACCGGAGCCCTGACACTGGGGGTTCTCCAAACTGCACAGAATCTTAGCTAGGGGCTCTCCTGAACCCCTGAGAACGCCCCTCAGCAGCCTACACCCCTGAGTAAAACCCCAGCAAATGGGTGACTCTGTTCTAGGCAAGCTACCATCCAGATGTCCTGTTGGCCGACACAGCCGTGCAGCAAATATGCAAATCACTCTGGATCCCACCGCTTCACGCTGCACCACCACCCATCTTCCCCACCCTCGTGTTAAAAAGGAAACAAATCATAATACAGACGGGTAGTCCTTGACTTACGACCACCACGGAACCCGGAAATTTCCACTGCTAACCGAGGCAGCCGTTAAAGTGAGTTTCACCCCATTCCTTGTTAACTGAATCGCTGCAGTTTGTTAAGTTAGTAACGCACAGTTTGTTGAGTAAATCTGGCTTCCCCGTGGACTTTGCTGGTCAGAAGGTGATCCCCATGATCCCGGGACACGGCAACCATCGTAACTGTGAGTCAAGTTGCCGTGCTCTTGAATTTTGATCACGGGACCATGGGGATGCTGCAACGGTCGTAAGGGTGAAAAACAGTCGTAGCTTTGAACAGTCACTAAATGAATGGTTGTTAAGTCAAGGACTACTTATAAGGCCACTGATTCAACGGTCCAACAGATTTTGCTCCAAGATCTTCAGTATATTTAAAATCTGATGTCAGGTTTGGTATCCAATGAATACCTTTTGGGTCAGTAATAAATCCATAGAGATCAGGGGTCTCCAACCTTGGCAACTTTAAGACTTGTGGACTTCAACTCCCAGAATTCCTCAGCCAGCTTTGCTGAGGAAGTCCACAAGTCTTAAAGTTGCCAAGGTTAGAGACCTCTGATACAGATCAATATGACACCAAATTTAGGGAACTGTCCGGGCTATTTATATTGCAAAAAACAGCCAATATTTCCAGGATCAAGATGTTCACCATCTAAAACAGGAGTCTTCAAACTTGGCAACTTTAACATGTGTGGTCTGCAACTCCCAGAATTCCTCTACCAGTCATGTTAGCTCAGGAATTCTGAGAGTCGAAGTCCACCAGTCTTAAAACTTGCCAAATTTGAAGGCCGTTGATCTAAAACGTAACAACTTTCTGCTTCTTCCTTGCATTCGCTGCTACTTCACTCACTGAAACGAAGGAGGCCTGGAATCTCCAATGCCGCCAGTTCGCTCGATGGAGGGTGGCAATTCCGGTTGACTTTCGGCACAGACGGATCCAGCATCCGAATGAGATCCCTCCGCGGACACCAGCTGGAAGGAGAAAAAGTTTACAGAAGATAAGCCAACTGGGAAGAGATAAGAAAATTTTTCTTCTCGAAGAAAAGACAAGGCGGGGTTCTTGCAAAATATCACTGATAATACGGATGATGTTACGTCATTGGGTAATGAAGGAAACTGCAAGGAAACAACCAAGGTCAGAGGGCACCAAGGATCCCAAAGTCCTCCTCCTCCTTCTCCTTCCCCTCCTCCTCCTCCTCCTCCACCCTTATGTCACTGATGATGTTACCTAGTTGGGTCATGGAACATCTGCAAGGAAACTATCATGCTCAGAGAGCACCAAGGACCTCAGATTTCAACCCTGAGCTACAAATATTCTCTTCTAGAAATAACAGAAATAAATAAAATACACGGAGGGGGAAATTACCTCTTCTTCTACATTCCTGCTCAAGCTCTATAAAAAACTGCATCCATGGCATGGATAGCCAACTGAGCCCCCGTGAAGGAAGACCACGCAATCAATCCCAAGCAGGGTGGATTTAATGTCCCGTGCCTTCTGACCCTCTTATTCTTCCCCACTGCCACGTTGCAATGAAGAGGTTTCAAAGAGACCTTGACCCCCCCGCCCCATCAGGTTCTACACTTTTACAACATTTTGGTGTGTCGGTTCTCGGTTTGCACAGGCTTCGAATTTGGCCTTCTTCAAAGCACCGTACAATCAAACCCTAACCGTTCTTTTGTTAAAAAGTCACCCACGAACAAGAAAACATTTCACAGGGCAAGAAAGGTTTAACTGCAGAAAGTTTAACGGCTGGTTGTGTCTCGGGAACTTCCTATTCTCCCTGGTTTTACAACACACACACACACACACACAATCTTTGTACAACTGCTAAGTCATCACTAATCAATGATTCATGGTGGAGGGAAAGGGGGGGGGAGGATCTAAGGGCCTCAAGATTGTAAGGGTGCGAGGACAGCGAGAAAAAGTACTGTCAGAGTCTTCGAGGGACAACCACAATTGAGCCCAAGATTCCTGTTGCTAAGGGAGACGGTGGTTAACTGAGCTCTGCCCCCATTTTACGGCCTCCCCTGCCCCAGCCGTTTAAGTGAATCGCTGCCCTTGTTACATTAGCAACACGGTTCTTAAGCGAATCTGGATTCCCCACTGACTTTGCTTGACCGAAGGTCGCGTGAGGGGATTTTGCATGACTCCCGGGAAACTGCAGCCGTCACAAATAGGAGTCAGTTGCCGAGCCTTTGATCATGTGACCCTGGAGATGCCGTAATGGCTGCAAGGGTGAAAAGCGGTCCTAGGTCCCTTTTCTCAGTGATGTGGTTACTTTGAACGATCCCTAAATGAACTGATATACGTCGAGGAGTATCTGTAGAGGTAATCCTCACCTTTACAACCACAACCGAGACTGGACTATCCGTCATAAGTTGGGCGCAGCTGTGAAGCGAGTCGTCACGTGACCAAACCCGACTTTATGATAGTTTTTACCACAGTCGTTAAGCAAATCCAGCTTCCTCAATTGATGTTTTTATGTCGGAAACCAGTCGGGAATGTCACAAACCATAATGATGAGACAGCAGTCGTGATGCTGCAACCGCTGGTAAATGGAAATCATCTTCAACGTGTCCAAATTGTAAAGACATGGCCTTTGTTGTGACGGTCATAAGCGTGAGGGAAGCCCATTGTAACTTTGATGTTAAATTTAGGCAGGAAAAACAAAAACAAGGCTACAAGTACAGATCAGGCGAAACATGGTTCAAAAACAGTAGCTGTGAGAGGGACCTTGAAGTCCCAATGGGCGATCAATTAAATATGAGCCGGCCGTGTGCAGCAGCAGCAGCAGCAGCCAAAAAAAGCTAATACAATCCTCGGTTGTCTGAACAGGCATAGGATCAAGATCACATGAAGTATTAGCACCACTTTATAAAGCTTTAGTAAGGCCACACCTGGAATACCGCAACCAGTTTTGGTCAGCACATTACAAAAAAGATGTTGAGACTTTGGAAAAAGTGCATAGAAGACCAACTAAGAGTATTATGGGCCTGGCGATAAAAACATATGAAGAATGGCTGTGTTGTGGTAAGCTGGCAGCAGGTTGCGGATGGCTGAGAGCGAGGACTCAGATGAGGGGCCAGGACCATTAGGGAGTGGACTGCTGCCTTCAGAGATTGTGGGGGCTGGCAGCAGTGATGAGGAGGTTCCCGAGGAGCCCGTGCCAAGTGCGTGCGTGCACAGGATTGCTCGGAGGAAAGAGCAGCTGCAACAGCACGGGTGACTCAGGAGTAAGGCTGCAAGGTGATGGCCCCTCCTTCAAGAAGATAAAAGCCAGCTGTGAACGAACATACTTTGCAGAAGGCAAAGACGTTTTGAACTCAGCCTCGTGGACATTACAGTTGGTATTTGAAGACTCTTGTAAACTACAGTATTTCTTATCTGTTGTTTTTTTGGCAGACTTGAAAAAACTTGGCAAGGCTCTTTCTTGTCGGAGCTAATTAGTTGGAAGCACCTTTTTATCTGTGAAGAAACAGGATTCATAGCTGAAACATACAAAGGTTATACTGCTGCCTTTGTCTTGTAGTTGTACTCTTGGAACCAGGTTTGGGTCAGAATAGGCTGCAAGATTTGCATTTGGCTAGTCTAGATAAAAGAAGTACCACGGGTGACATGATAGCAGTCTGTATTTGAGGAGCTGCCACAAGGAGGAGGGGGTTAATCTATTCTCCAAAGCACCAGAAGGCAAGTCAAGAAGCAATGGAGGGAAATTAATCAAGGAGAGAAGCAACTTGGAATTAAGTAGAAACTTCCTAACAGTGAGGACAATTAACCAGTGGAACAGCTGCCCTCCAGAAGTTGTGGTGGCTGCCTCACTGGAGGTTTTTAAGAAGAGACAGCCACTTGTCTGAGATGGCATAGAGCCGTGATGGCAAACTTATGGTATGTGTGCCAGAGGTGGCACGCAGAGACCTCTCTTTGGGCATGCGCACCATTGCCAGCTGCTCTTCTGGTTTCTGGTGCACACATGTGCGCTGCCCAGCTGGTCCTTGCAGGTGCCGGAGCACTGGAAAATGGCCCGCAAAACGGCCATTTTGGGGCTGTTTTTGAGTCTTTTTCAGGCCATTCTATAGGCCTTTCTCAGGCCGTTTTGGGGTCGAAAAAACAGCCTGAAATGGCCTAGAAAACAGCCCCCCCAAACAGCCTGAAAAATGGCCCCAAAACGGCTTGAAAACAGCCCCCAAAACGGCCAAAAACAGCCAAAAAAACAGGCATGCATGCACCAGCTAGTCTATGGGTTTCCAGCACTCTGGCCCACGCACATACACACACATGCACGCATGTTCTGATTTGGGCACTCGGTGCCAAAAAGGTTCGCCATCACTGGTATAAGGTCTCCTGCTTGAACGGGGGGCTGGACTAGAAGACCTCCAAGGTCCCTTCCATTCATTCAAGAAAATGAATGCAATCCTCAAGAACCATTCCTTTAGGAAATGAATGGTTCTTAAGGATTGCATTCATTCTCTTTACAGTATTCAACAAATCAATCCACCAACTTGCCTGAGGTCAATTCCAGCTACAGACAGACTTACAACCATCCGTTTAGTGACTATGGAAGTTAAAACAGCACCCCCAAAAAGTGACTTATGACCAGCTTTCACGATTACGATAGTTGCAGCATCATTTCCCATGGTCATGTGATCAAGATTTTTGGCACTTGGCCACTGGCATGTATTTATCACAAGTGCAGTGTTCTGGGGTCGTGTGATCACCAATGGGCTCCTTCCCAGTCGATGCTAACAAGTGAAGTCAATGGGGAAGCCAAAATAGTTTAATAACTGCCCAATTCACTTAGCAACTGCAGGGAATCTTCACGACAGCTTAACAACTATGGCCAAAGTGGGTCGTAAAATGGGGCAAACTCACTTAACAACCGTCTATGGAGATTCTCAGTCATGGTTGTCCCAAAGGTGTTTTTTTCAAGGGGCAACTGGACTCTTGAAGCTGAAGAAGCTTCTTGGATGAGAAGCGAAACCTCTTCAAAGAAAAACCAGAAAGTCCAGTTGCCTCTTGAAAAAAAAAACTCCTTTGGGTCACTCAGCAACTGCCTTGCTTAGCCACAGAAATGTGGGACTCAATTCTGGTCGTTAAGTCGAGGACTCCCACCCTTAATCCCTGCCTGCTTCTTGGGCTGTCTGGATAGATTTGACAAAATTCCCAACTCCAGACACTGCCACTTCCTCTAACACTGGTTTTGCTGTTTTAAAACAGCTTCTTAGTTCCTGACTACTGCAATTCACCCAATTCCCAGAGCTGCCCAGTCATTTGCTGAGAGAGGCGGCTACAGAAATCAAATAAATAAACAGAATAACTAAATCAAGAGTCAACTGTCATTCTCTTATCTAGTGAACTCTGAGCTAGCAATCTGGATTCCAAGAAGATTTTTTTGAAAAAAAAATGGTTTTCTAGCTTTTGTCCTATCAGGAGTAGATCCAAGCAGGAGAGGTGATCCCCAGCCAGTTACAGATAGTCCTTGATTTACAACTATTTGTTCTGTGACCATTCTAAGTTATGACGGCACTGAAAAAAGGGGACTTGCGACCATTTTTAACACTTACGGCCACTTGCAGGGTTCCCCACGGTCACGGGATTTACATTCAAATGCTTGACAACTGGCTCCCATTTATGATGGTGAGGTGCTGTGATCCCCTTCTGTGACCTTCTGACAAGCAAAGTCAAGCGGATTCGCTTAACAACGGTGTTACCAATGTAACAACTGCAGCGATTCACGTAGCAACTGTGGCAAGAAAGGTTGTAAAATGGGGCGAAACTCACTTTAAAAACTTCTCCCTTAGGGCAACGTAAACGTTGGGCTCAATTGTGTCGTAAGCCGAGGACCACTTGTAATTTCAAATCAGCAGAAACCGCCAAATCAAACCGCAGACAAGCCTGTGTTTGGATATGGTGAGGCAGAGCAGCCTTTTCCTCTTTCGAAGGACACTGAAGCCAGTTGCGGAACCAGGAAACCACCCAAAGTTTATCCTCCCCACAATCCGTAATGCCACATGCGTCCTCCTTCCAATTCAGCCACCTTCCCATCCTCCTACTGCTGTCATTGGGTCGGATTTAACTTCAGACAAACCAGGTTAAGTAAGCAGCCCAACGTGATGCTGCGTTTGGGCAACCTGCAGTGAGTCGAACACTGGACAGGTAAACAGATGTGATGATTCTTTTGTGCCCAAGGCAAAGGTGCGCTACTACGCTTTTCTTCCTTTCTTTCCGAGACAAGGAACGAAGGGGGAAAAAAACAGCACATACTATTAGGATAACACTAGTTGGATACCCGTGCTCCGCTATGAAACTATGTGGTAGGGGTTAGTTTGGGGGGAAGAAAATAAGGGGGGAAAAATTCTGCCTCTGCCTGCCTACCAGCATTGATCGGTATTCATCTGGCTAGCGTCCTGTCAGTGTGTGAGAGAGTTGAGGGCCATTTGGAAACTGAAGCAGTATTTGCTATGTGAGCAAGGAGACAGCAAGGAGCCTGGGCGTGGCTTAGCTCAACTGTTCTGTACTAAAGCTGCTTGCTGCTGTGAAAGTAAAACCAAAACTGAAACTCCTCTCCTTTGCTTGTGTTTTGTATTTGGAACAGATTTCAGGTGGGGCGGGGGGAGTAGAACTCCTTAGCATCAGAGCGTGTTAATAATAATAATATGGAAAATACTAATGCTCTGATGGTCATTTCGAAAAAATCCTTTCTTAGCGAGCATCTAGAGGCCAAGAGGAACATATGTGCCAAATTTCAAGTTTGCAGGCTTTACGGTTCTGGAGATTTTGTGATGATGCGCGAGGGGTATTTCGCTTTTATATATACAGATAACACATTATAGGTAGTCCTTGACTTACAACCTTTTGCTTAATGACTGAATTTACAAAGCACTGATAAAAGGGACTTATGACCATTTTTCACTTACGCCCATTGCAACCTCTCCATAATCAAAATTTTGGCTGCTTAGCACATGGCTCATATTTATGACAGTTGCAGTATCCTGGGGTCATATGATCTCCTCGTGCAACCTTCCAACCAGCGAAGTCAACGGGGAAGCCAGATTCACTTAACAACCGTGCTACTAACTTAGAAACACCAGCGATTCACTTAACAGCAGTGGCGAGAAAGGTTATAAAATGGGCCCAAACTCACTTCTAAAGAACTATCTCGCTTAGCAAGAGAAATGTTGGGTTCAACTGTGGTCATACATCGAGGACTACCTGCATGATGTTGTAAGCAGCCCAGGGTCATTTCGGTGAAATGGCCCCACCCCCATCTATTCTCTGCCTCCCGAGTCCCAGCCGATTGGCTGGGTCTTCTTTGGTTGCCCTGAACAGGAGAACAGAGCTGGAAAGCAGGTTAGTGGGGTGGGGAGGGAATGGGAATTTTGTAGTATCCTCCCCCTGGCACAACCACCAAGCCACGCCCACAGAACCGGTAGCAAAAAAAATTGAATCCCACCACTGGATCAGAGCATGAGAAGGCTACTTACCCATGACACCACTCGTCCGTTGAAGCAAGGAAGCTTTGCATTGTCATCTGAAATTTCCTCTTTTACGACCCTGTTTTTTTTTTTAAAAAAAGAGAGAAAACAAAATGAAATGATATTGAGCAGAGTGTCAGGATTCCGGCAGTTACCCCGATTAAATCATTAGTCTCGAGTCAAACTCCCAAAACTGCAAAGGATTTATTGGAAGTCAACATGTCGGCATGACCTAGACCGACTCTGAGACATGTAATTCACTGTCCCCCTTGATTCTGCTTTTCCCCCCCAAGGGAGTCATCACTCAATTAGATTTTTTCATGGCAGAAGCTTCAGTCATCTAATCAGTCTCTGAAGAAAATATGAATGGAACGTATTTTCGATTCCACACTGCCGCCTGCTCTTTGAACCTCCTCCCCCGCCCCCCTTTCGGATGGCAACTATAAAACGTGTATACAAAATGTTTTATGAGTTGACACACAGCATTGCTAGGGCCTTCAGAATTGGAATATCCTGTGGATAACACTATGGATAATATTTCATCCTATAGATAATCCTTTTTAAAAAATATATTTTTATTAAGCATTTTCCAACAGTTTATAACACATAAACACTTTTTACAAAGTTATAGCATTGTCAACATTCATATATACATATTAGTTATGGTATTATTTTTGTTTCTATTATCTAACCAGGTATACCAGGCGTCTCAGACCCAATAATACTCTGATTCACCTCTATCTTTTAACTCTAGGCAGGGGTCTCAAACTCGCGGCCCGCGGGCCAATTGCGGCCCGCAGGACGATATCCTGTGGCCCCCACCGTGATATGAAAGTATAATATTAGTGCGGCCCGCAGGGGGAATAGACCTCTGAAGGAAGTCCCGCCTGCCGTTCCTCATCGTGGCTTCTTCTTCACCCTGAACTTTAACAAGTCCAAGTACAGGTCCAGACTTACTGTTGATCAACTTCAAGCCATACTGAGGGTCTCAAGTGGCCTCCTCTCTCAAGCCAAATGTGGCTCAGATATGTGAGAGGAAGCGTTGTCAAGTCTCTGGCAGCAAGGAGTAAGCCGAAGAAGCCACGTTCTGAGGAACTGTTCACGATCTTCATTCAATGTTCCATTCATGTGTTCAGGACAGTTCATGTATTGGAGAAATCATTAACTGTTGATGACATTTGAGGATATTTTTTTAAACGTTTTTTGTGGAATCCCATATGCGGCCCAGCCTCACCCAGACTCTGCCTCCAGCGGCCCCCAGGTAAATTGAGTTTGAGACCCCTGCTCTAGCGTAAGCCTGTCCATCTCCACGCAGTCCAAAATCTTTTTTATCACTGTCCCCTCAAGTGGTATATTATCCTGTTTCCAGTACTGTGAGTACACAATTCTAGCTGCAGTTGTTACATGCAAGACGATGCATTTGTCTTTTTAGTATATTCTCCTCTTATTATTCCCAGTTAAAAAAGGTTCTGGTCTAAATTCAATTTTTTTTGTTTTGTTATTTCTTCTAACCACTTTTTAATTCTACTCCAATATCTCTTGGCTTCCGGGCATGTCCACCACATGTGGAAAAAGGTACCCTCATTACTTTTACATTTCCAACATTCTGGGCTTCTAGCTGGGAACATCCTTGCCAGTCTAGCGGGGGATAGGTGCCATCTTTAAAACAATTTGTATATATTTTCTTTTTATGCTGCTGATAATGTTAATTTATAGTTTCACACACACCCCAAATTTTTCCCAATATTCTAATTCAATGCTATACCCAAAGTTTTTTACCCAGACTATCATCGTTTCTTTGATAATTTCTCCTTCCATTTTAAAATTCAAAAGAAAGTTAAATATATTGGTTATCATCTTCTCTTCCGTCCACTGTATTATTTTATCCAGTTGTTGCTGATCCTTATAAAAGCTGTGTTCCTATAGATAATTCTTAACAGGAAGGATGCATAAAAATACAGAGGGATTGTATTCTTCAGGGCCTGTTGAGACTTTGGAAAAAGTGGCAGAGAAGAGCAATTGAGATGATTAAAAACCTGGAGACTAAAACATAGGAAAAACATAGGAAGGCGGCTGCAGCAATTGGGTAGGGCTAGTTGAGAGAAAAGAAGGCGTAGGTGAGAGAAAAGAAGGCGTAGGTGACATGACATCAGGATTCCAGTCTTTGAGAGGCTGTCACAAAGAAGAGAGCAATGGATGGAAGCTAATCAAGGAGAGAAAGAAATCTGGAATTAACCAGAAACTTCCTAACAGTGAGAACAATTAATCAGTGAAACAACTTGTCTCCAGAAGTTACAGGTGCTCTATCCATCACTGGAAGTTTTTAAGAAGAGACTGGACTAGAAGATCTCCAATATCCCTTCCAGTTTAATAATCTCACATATTCTCCTTCAGCATATAGAGAAAGACCGCATGCTGGCAAGAGAAAAAGCTGTCAACATGGCCCAATACTTGGCAAATGTCATTTAGGTTCAGTCTCCTTTATTTTACGTACTTCTTCACGTGCTATGTGTTTATTACCTATTACCTATTTTGAATTTGTAAGCCCTTCTGACTCGAATAAAGAAAAGAAAGTTTTTTTCTATTTTATTTTAGATTACCAATCCCTAGAGGTAGAAAAGTAAAGGTGCTTTTCAAGACAAACTCAATGTTTAGGGACTATTTATGAATCATCGTTGGTAGCATTACTGGAGTGCTGTTGTTTTAAATGTCTTTTTCTGGAACATTTTTCACCTCGCCTAGGATTCTCTCTGGTAAACCTATTTACCTTCTGAAATTCATCAAGGTCAGCAGGCGCTACAGCCAGCTAACCGGGATGGATAAAAATCAATGTTTGTTTTTTTTAAAAAAATAATAATGTTAAAATCTGATTTTTTCAAACTTAAATTGGATTTATTTTTATTTTTATCAAATTTATTTTAATAAAATGCTTTTGGAGTAAAAAATAAAGATAGTTTTCTATTTTAAATTAATAATTTAGTTTATTCAGCATGAAATGGAGCTTAGTCATATAGCACGAGGCTGTTTATTCTGCAATAATGGGACTGTCGGTGAGTCAACAGTGGGTCAGAGGAGGTGCCGCTGCGGGACAGAGAGGACAGTGGCTCTTTAAATATTATGATTTAAATCAAGCCTTTTTACTAAAGATTTAAATCATGATTTAAAGTTGATTAAATCAAGTTGATTAAATCAAATCCACCCTGTAGCTAGCACATATGGACAGAAAGGAAAAGAGATAAACTGAAAAAAATAATAATAGTTAAAAATGCATTAGCTATCCCTAGTTGAGGGAATCCAGTCTGCCCCATACAAAATTGTCCAGCCTCAAGGGGTTACAGAAGGGGTCTTTGTTCCCCCGAAGGCCCTTTGAAAGGTCAGAGGAGAAGCAGCTGACAATTGAGGAGGGTCTCCATCTACCCCACCCACCCACACACGCATACACCACAACCCCCTTCAGCTTTTGTTAAGGAAGACTGTGAAATTGGGCCCGGCTCTGACTTCAACAGCAGGCAATTCCGCCTGCTGCCAAAAACTTGAGTTTTGAGGCTTGGAGGAATGTGCTTTGCAAGCAGAAAAAGCTCATTCCTGCAAGAACCTCAACTCAACGAGAAGGCAAGGAAGGAGGAGGGAAAGACGACGGCGGCGGGCGGCCGTGGGCATTTTTCTCCTCCTGCACACCTAGGAGGAAAAAAAGGATCCCCCACCAAATAGCTACCGAACCACAACACCGTCATCCCCAAACGATCGCCGATCTAGTGGCAACGGAAATACGTGGCTCACGGCAAAACTAACCCGGCATTTTTTATTTTACTTTGCCTGTACGGCAGAGGTGTCAAACTCAAGGCCCACGGGGTGCTTAAATCTGCCCTGCAGGGGCTCGGCCTGGAAATATCAAAGAACTGGGCCCCACAATGCCTCTGACAGCCAAAACAGGCAATTGGGGGGTGGGATGTGTGTGCCTTCCCCCCTCCCCTCCCATGGCCCAGTTTTGGCTTCCCCGGCCTCCAGCAGAAACTCTGTCGGGCAAAATCGGGCCGCCCAGAGGCCCTGCGAGGCTACCGCGCGGCCCGTTTTCGGCTGGCAGAGTGCTGCAGGAGGAGTACAGGGTGCTGCAGAAGGCGTCCGCCCCATCTCTCCCCGCCTCTCCCAACTCTCCCCCCCCCCCGTCCCGCGGAGAACTACAATACTGATCTGGCTCTCAAAGAAATCCAGTTTGACACCCCTGCTGTACGGGACAGATGTCAACTTGCTTAGAGGTAGTCCTCGACTTAGAACCGTTTTTTAGGTGACCGTTCAAAATTACAACGGCACTGAAAAAAAGGTGATTTGTAGTTAAGTTTTCACATTTACGGCCCTTGTAGCATCCCCGCAGTCATAGGATCAAAATTCAGATGCTTGGCAACAGACTCGCATTTATGACGGTGGCAGCATCCTGGGGCCATATGATCAGTTTTCCGATAAGCCAAGTCTCTTAACTGCCTTGCGTAGCGACAAAAAATTGGGTTCCGTCGTGGATGTAAATCCAAGGACTACCTGTATTTACACAGACCACCAGGGGAAGCCAGGAAACCCAGGTAGGCTGGTGAGGCACGGTTAGTTCTTAAGATGAGACCTTGGAAGGTTATGCCAAGGCTGTAGGAGAGACTGTGAGGTTGGAAAAAAAAAAAAAACAACCAGAAAGGAAAACTACAACAAACAACCATTTCCAGGCTGCCAAGAAAGCGACGTGGACGTATCCAACTCAACTCAAAGGAAATTTTACCCTGTTTCAGACCAGATGATGTGGGGAGTTTCTGGCAAGGAAAAACTCGACATTCAGCTCACAAAGGCAGATATCCAAACACACACCCATGAAAGATCTGGTTGCCGTTTAGCATCATGCACTCTTCGGTTGCATTTGTAGACAAATCAGACAACACAGCCAAGGGCTGTTTGCTTTGCAATAAAATGTACTCTGGATGAAAAAAA